CACTTTACTTTGCACGCTGCTTTCGGCATGGTTTGGAGCGGTGGTTATTACGATGGAAGAAGGCTGCTGCAGGTCTAGGCCTTCAAAGGAACTGTTGCATTGCTCAAGCACGGGGGCAGAAGATGACTTTTTCAAAATAGCTTCATTCCGTGTTCCATGAACAGAATGTAAAACCACTGGTGGATTGAACGATCATGATTGTGGGACAAGCATAGTAGGTTTATTGTCTATGTTATTGAGCTCCGCAGGATCCTTTCGCGTGATAAATCGAGCGGCATCAACTGCCGGCTGAAATTTTTGAGGCGGAGATTTCATTCCCACCAGCTTGAGAATGGCAATTCTGAAACGGCGATCTCTATACCAGTAGAGCAGCGGATTCAATAAAGAGTTCAGTTGCGTTGCTGCCCATGTAAATCGGAAAGCGACATTTGTATTAAAGACCAAGAAAACGTTTCCTAAGAAGGCAACCACAGTTATTGGGAGAAAAGAGAGTATTAAAACGGCGGTTAATAAGCCAGTCGTCACTGCAACTTTAGATTCACGCTTCAATTTCATGAGAGCGTTGACTTGACTGATTTCGTTTGTTTTCAAATTGCGTATTCCAAGGTAAACCTTTCGGTAGAAATATGCAATAAGTATTACACAAGCTGTCCATACAAAAGACCACACAGTTAACCAGGCGGCCAAAAATCTACTATCCACACCGAGCACTAACATCAAAAAGTCTGGAACCGACGGGAGAAGCGCTGAGAGCCAGGCAGCCGTAGCAAGGTTTTTGAGACGCCTTTTTGTGACAATAATCTTGTAGTTCATCCATTTTTGGATTGCCACGTACCTCTCCCAAGCAATAATAGTCAAGTGATGTAAGGTAGCTGAGAAGAGAAAGGGGCCAAAACAACGACTCGCCAACAGTAACGAGCACACATGCTCAAACGAAAGCCGAAGGAATATAAAGACATCAACAGTGATAGATAGCGGCATAACCGTAAGGCCGACTAGAAGATCTGTAACTGCCAAGCTGGACAACAAAATGTGTGGAAGGTTTTGCAGCTCTTTCCTTTGCTTTATGGCTATGATCACCAAAGCGTTTAAAAGAATGGTAGAGAGTGAAGCAATTAATGTCATGACGGCTATGATTAAGTGAAAATGGGAGTCACTTAAGTTCCATGATAGGTTTGGAGAATACCGGCAATAAAATGTGGAATTGGAAGAGTTGATGGTTGTTGCAGTGTTGCTCGGACGCATTTTGGTGTGGTATGAAGAAAGAACCTCTATTGGAGACCTACAATGACTGTACAACAACCTGCCGCCTTTGATCTGTCGCTTACAAGAACGACGAGTCTTCCGTTTTGAAGTCTTTCTGGTCCTTTAAACCTATAACGTTTAAGAATAAAACACGTAATATTTACCACTCGGAACCTCTTTCCTAAAATATATTTGTCACGACCATTTCCATATCAAGCCCATGTGTATTGGTTGTGAATTCTTTAAAAAATTCTTTCTAGCAAAATTTGACTTACTACAGATAAGACCAATTTTATTGATAGTCGGGGTTGTCGATGAGGCCAAAACATCAGAATAGACAAATTTCGATGTATCAAAATTCAGCCGAAAACAATAGACCTCAACACGAGGCTCCGGGGAATAAACCCCGCAAACTCTGTTTTTATTCCTCGGAGCCTCGCACTGCGGTCTATTGTTTTAGGCGGAATTTTAACATATCGAAATTGGTCTATTACAACAATGGACATGAAAAAGTCCTTATAGGAGAATAATTGCAGCAACTTGCAGTTATTGTCTTAACTATTGCAAGTATCACTTTAGCTGGGTTGTCTTGCTCGTATTTCCATT